TTTTATTAGGTGCGCCTTGATGAGAAGAACACAAACCTCAAATTTTAAGTGAATTGGATCCGTAGAAAAATAAATAAAATTCAAGTACTACAAGACATACGTGATGGTTAGATCGACCCAGATACAATCTGGGACGTTGGACTCATAGGTTCATATGAGCTAGTGGGCTAATCCCATCTTTTCCACATATATATATATATATATATAGGAAAAGTCTTCCCAACGCTTATAGGCAAAAAGGAACAGTGATTTCACCTACCCTCATCATTGTCCAAAGTTCATCACACCGTCACGATTGTTCGATAGTGTTTCATTTTTCATTTTATTTATGATCTGAAATTTTAAGCATGTGTACGTCGTAGTGAAGCGCACCTAATAAAAATATTAAAAAATAATAATTCGTAAAAAACCAAAATACACCTCAAATTTTTCGGGGGTATTTTGGTTAATTTATTTCATGTAAAATATTTTTTTGATATTTTTTGCAGATTCATCTATTTTTTATGAATACACGGTCCAAATTTTAGATCATTTCGATTTGTAGAAAAAAAAATGAAAAAATAAAATACTACCGGACAATTGTGATCGTGCGATGAACTTTGAACTGTGATGAAATTTCAAATCATTCCGATATATATGAACAACGTTTAGGAAATGGTATGATAAAAAAAAAAAAACAAGATCTAATTGTTACCAAATTTAGAATGCTTTAAAAAATTTGGAAGAAAGAATGTTTTGATAAGGATGGATATGAAAACCTTTCTCTTTTGTGCCTCTCTAATTAAGATATGGAATCATTGTTGATATAATGATAGATATGGAAATCTTTGGTTGAGAGATGGAAAGAATGATGGTACCTCTCTCTCTCAAATTAAGATATGGAAACAATGCTAATCATAGATATGAAAATCTCCCCCTCTCTCTCATTAAGATATGGAAACATAATCTTAGTTATGTATGCATATCTTTCTGTCTCCTGAATTTTATCTTTCCTATATATATTATTATTATATACTAAGATAGGTTAATTTTTATTTCTATAATAATATTTATTGTAACAAGATAGGTTAATTTTAGTGCTCATATATATTACTATAATCAAATAAGTTAATTTTTCATATTTTTCAAATTTTAGATTGTCAGTACTATCTCTCTCTCGTGATTAGCTGGGACATAGGTACCCATTTTAGGAGGTTAAAAAATTGGGGATGACTTGTATGCACAACTTTTAGGAAAGGGTGGGATAAAAAAATGCAAAATCTAATTGTTATCAACTTTAGGAGGTTTTAAAAAAATAAGAAGAAACAATGTTGAGAAAAGAAGGATATGGAAATCTTTCTCTCTTTTGCCTCTCTAATTAACATATGGAAACAATGTTGACACAAGAACGAATATAGAAATCTCTCATTACGATACAAAACAATGGTGATTTCTCTTTTCAAACAATGATTATTTATGGTTTTTAGAATTAAGAAGGGAAAATATCTCCTTATCTCCTATTTTTAATTTTCATATCTCATGAGACCCAAGAATTGAAAATATTACTTTGTAAACAAAATGTTTCTATCTTTTCTATCTTACAACCCCTTGGACCCCTTTGACCATAAATTTTTTACTCAAACAAACACTAAAATGATACCATATTCAAACTCCATCTCTCTCTCTAAAACTTCATCTCTCTCTTCAGTTCTCGGTGAGTTTACCAGCCAAGGGGTTTAGCTTGAGCTCTAACTCGAGCACACCTTCTTTTGTGTGAAAAAGAGATGGAGTTTTAGAGAGAGAGAGAGAGAGATGGAGTTTTAGATAAAGAAAGATGGAATTTTTGAGAGAGAAAGAGATAAAGTTTGAGTTTTAGGAAGAGAGATGGAGTTTGGAGAGAGAGAGACGATGATGTGACAGAGAGATGGAGTTAGAGAGAGAGATGATGATGTGAGAGAGAGCTGGAGTTTTAGAGAGAGAGAGAGATAGAGTTATTTCATAAGTTGTTGAGGTCAATAATACACAGTCAAAAGGGTTCAGGGGGTTGAAAGATAGAAAAGATAGAGTCATTTTGCTTACAAGTAATATTTTTAATTCTTGGGTCTGATGAGATATAGAAATTAAAAATATGAGATCATTGGATATTTTGCCTTAATTTTTGGTTTATGCTAGGGTACGCCTACATTAGAGTATTTCCGTAATGCACTTAATATTTTTTGGTTATTTATTACTCTTACTTTGTTGAAAGAAATTTTCAAGCGAGGGCATCTTTTGTCGGTACGAGGGGTAGAATATATATTTATATAAAACTTAGTGGTAATTAATACTGTATATGGATGGTATCACGTAACATGTAGAAAACATCATTAAAACAACCGAAAATTGTTTACATGTTGACAAAAAAAAAGTTCACAAAATTTCCGGTCTTTAAACACCATGTTTTCTTGTTTGGTCCGAGATTACAAAACAATAATACTCAAAACCTAAAAATATATTGTAAAAAAAGTGATATAAGACTCAATCGAAGTACACCAAAACATGAATATGTAGTCCTTGACAAATTTTGATCCTTAAATAATTGTGAACCTATTATTGTTTTTCTAAGCATAACACGCTTATTATATGTGTAAATCGTGCAGTTTATAGTTTCCTAAGCTTCTCTATAATCCTTTATAGTGTAGGCATGTACCTCGTGCAATGTAAAATATGCAAAATGATTAAGGGTGGAAATGGGCCGGGCCTGGGGTGGACCAGCACATAGGCGGTGGTGTTTGGCCCTAGCTTGGACTTTGGGCCACATTTTATGGCCCAGCCAAAGTTTGCCAAGGCCGGGCAAAACTGCCCACCATGTTGTGAACCTATTTACATTTAAAAAAAAGAATGGGTGTGGTTTTAAATAATCAAAGTAAGGTGCATCTTCAAATAGTATCAAAATATGTTTTTTTAGTATCAGAAATCTTTATGGCGACTTGAAAATTTATTTAATTCTCAAATTATAAAATATAAATATTAAAAAAAAGAAACATTGATGGAGTAGATCTATGAACTCATACAAAACTCAAAAATTGATGATCTAGATAATATATTACAAAAAATACTATTTCCAACACTTGAAATCTATGTTGTCTCATGTCTGTAAATCTTGAGGTCGAGATGATCGAAGTGAGGTTTTCAGCATCGAAACAACTACTTGCGAAATATTTAGGGTCTCCTGCGGGAGAATAAAACCTTTGGACTTCTCTCTCCCATCAGTTTTGAGAGGGTAGGCAAGAAACAATAAGGAACCGAGCAGTAGTGAGGCTCCCACGAAGTGCACAAATCATATATTGTGGAAGTAGTTGGAAAGATGGAATATCTCACATCAACCATTGAATCTAGAGAAAGAAAACTATCACAAACCCCTTAGGGAGGGATGAGAGAGAAAGGAGCCCAAAAGCCTTAAAAATTTATAAATCCCACCCCCCAACACACCTATAAAATCCCCGGAACCACATCCTCAAGTGAACCCAACGCACTAGAGCTAAAGCAGATTGAGCAGAGAGACCGAGAGAGAGAGAGAGAGAGAGTCGAGAGAAAGTGGGTGCAATGGACAGTGTGAAGGTTGCATGCTTGGTAGCTGTGCTGGTGGCCATGGTGTTTGTGGTCGATGGGGCGGTGTCTTGCGGCACCGTTGATTCCTCACTCATTCCCTGCATAAATTACTTGACAAGTGGTGGCACGGTGCCCCCACCGTGCTGCAACGGGGTGAGGTCTGTGAATGGGATGGCTCAGACGACGCCCGACAAACAGGCAGTTTGCGGGTGCTTGAAGCAGGCGACAACGACAATCAACGGGATAAATAACAACAGGTTGCAGAGCCTGCCTGGGGACTGTGGGGTTGATATCCCTTTCACTATCTCTGTTAGCACGGATTGCACCAAGTATGGTGTCTTCTTTTTTTTTTTTTTGGCGTCCATTATAAAGCCTTTCTTTGTTAAATCATTATTAACTCCTCCGTTTGTTGTTTTTGCAGGATCAAGTGAGTGGGTGACATGGAGTTTTACTATAAACACAAATAAGAAATGATCATCCTGTGTGTCACGGATGCCTTTTCACTCTTGAGTCTTGAGTGTGTATTTTCCGGTGTTTATTCTTTTGCTGCCCTTTTCCTTGTGTGTTTGTATCTCCTCCTTTTCAATAAATGGGTTAAGTATTGAGGCTATACAGGAGTTTCTTTGCATTTTCCAATTTCTGTTCCAATTTTCTTTTTCTTATTTTGTTTTCGGCCTTTAAACCAAACATTTTTTAATGCAAGATCACTTGAGAAGGGAGAGAGTTTCAAAACAAAGTATATATTGTCTACCAAGTTAATGCATAAAGTATATATTACTATCAATATGTATGAAAAAGTTAGGTACTATATCTTATATTTTATAGCAAGTCTTGGGAAGCCCTTTTCATATAAAATACAAGATATGGAACCTATCCATCCCATGTATACTGATTACAATATATATTTTCCATGTTAACCTAACAGACAATATATACTTCGCTTTCACAATAGCTAATGTGGTTGAAGCTCCAAACTAGAGCTAATGCGTTCACGAGAGAGAGAGAGAGAGAGAGAGAGAGAGAGAGAGAGAGAGAGAGAGAGAGAGAGAGAGAGAGAGTAGTAGTAGTAGTAGTACGTACGTACGTAGTAGTAGTAGTAGTAGTAGTAGTAGAGAGAGAGAGAGAGAGAAG